GAAGTCGGGGCTTCTGGGGTTTCGGAGTTCCATGGCTTCGGGTGTAGGAGTTCGATTCGGGGTCAAGGGTTTAGGTTATACAGGAGCCCGAGGGCTTCCAACCGATACGGTGTCTACAGGAATGTGAGAACTTAGTGCTTGTGGCGCTACGGGCTATAGTTATAAGGGCTACTCTCGTATCTTTTGCTCATACATGTGCAAAGGCCTGGGATCTCAGGGTTAGGGGTGTAATGTAAGGCTGTGCTCGTGCAAGTGCTGCAAAAGCCAAGGACTTGCGTCGAAGTAGCCCAGCAGCAAGCGGCAAGGCAGCGACGTCGGCCATGGCGCATCGTGAATCAAAGCAGGTCGCAGGGGTCCCGTAGATCTGCTACGCGCCAGGCGCTTAAAAGCCCTTCAGGGATGAGCGTGCTGTTTCTTAGTAGGGACTTGGGGGGGGGGGGGGGGGGGGGGGGGGGGGGGTGAGATACGCTAAACCCTAAACCCTCAACCCCTAAACCCTAAACATCCCTAAACCCTACACTTTATGCATGTTTATAGGAACCCTTGAACCCTAGTTCCCGAAGTCCTACTTCCTACTCTCAAGGCCGGTCGGATGAAGCGGAAGGATCCCAGATGCGAAGACCCATGGCACATGCCGCGTCTGCAGCAACCCTGCTGGCAAAGGTTTATACAGGGTTTATAGGCACGAAGGGTTTCTAGGGTGTTTGTGGTGTTTAGAGCGATTCTAACTTCAAATGAAGGAGAAACATGCATGGTGAGAAGGCTCGGCTTGATGGCAATCCTCATCCGAGGTTGGTTCTGGATTCCGTGTTTCTCCGGCTTAGTTCCGGCTAGCGTTCTGAAAGCATGCAGAAACTTTCACAGCACGAGCATCATAGGAGTGCCACGGTGATGCCACGGTGATGTATAAGAGTCTCCTGTGAACTTCGTCTTGCTGCATCATTCGCCACGACGCCGTGCAAAAAAACATTACGCAGTCTTGAAATATCTTATAATGTCCTGACATGCTGGAAAGGCCAATCAAACATTCTCCCGGATGGCAGCAAAACTGGACTCAGTACGATGGCAGTCGCTTGGCGAGGTGCTGAAACATGAAACCATTGAACAGGGGGAAGGCTTTGTCACCCCTTGTAAGCCTTACTGAGCAGCGAGCTTTGGGGCGCGCAGCTGCAGCGGCTGGAGAACTGGCCTGGAGCCTGTCATCCTTAGGGCCGAACAGATGCAGGCAAGTGCGTGCGACGGCACAGGTGCAGTTGAGGCACGCGCCTTCGTCGATCCATTCAATTATGCCGATCATCACCGAGGGTCCTGTATTCCTGGCCGTGTTGGAAGCTTCCATGTTTGCCATAGACTTCCGAGCTTCCGTGACGTTGCATAGACACAACACCACGCGCAACATGCTGCGAATTGCTGCGCCGTGGCGCCCCGCCTTCAGTACCAGCTCCAATTGCGCCAGGATTTGCCCTGACCGCCCTGGCCCTTGCCATTTCCTTTGCTGGAGCTCTTGCCCTTGCCTTTCCCCTTGCCTTTGCCTTTGCCTTTCCCCTTGCCCGTGTTGGGCTTGGGGAGAAGCGTTGGGAGCTCTTCAGCCTCGCCAGGAAGCCACGAACTGGGAGGAGCCATCGGGTTTTCCGACAGGTCCGCCCACGACGGCTTTGTGGGCTTTGCGGGCTTCGTGGGCTTTGCGGGCTTGGCGGGCTTTTCTGTGGCCAATGCGGGTGCTGTGGGTGCTGTCGTGGGGGGCGGTGGCACGGACGCTTGAAGCGCCACGTGCTGGGGAAGTTGAGGGGCCAGTTGTGGGGGCTGATGTGGGGGAGGCACTTGTGCAGGTGGCAGAAACGTCACCATTTGTGCCAGCTGTGGGGGCATCTGTGGAGTCCCGCACCACGGCTCTGTCTGGTGGGGCATGGTGTGTGCAATGGGCATGTGAGGCATTTGTGGCGCACAACACCATGGCACTGTTGGCTGGGGCATGGGCATGGGTTGATAACTCAAGCCCATGATGGAGTGCCACTGTTGGCAGGGATGCACAGCCACTGCTTGCACGCGAACGGGCTGTGGGGGCCATGGCGCCAACGGGTGGGCGATGTGTGCCCACCACTCGGGTGGAGGCGCCAGCCCTCCACGGTAGTCAGGGCCATAAACAGCCTGCTCGCCAACAAAGGCCGGCGGCAGCTGTACAATCTGCTGGTCAGCAGCCATGAGGAAGCTGGTTGCTTGCGGCCGTTGCTATACTGCTGCTGAGCCACTGGTGCGCGACAAACGAAGTGGGCATGTGGAGCAGAAGGATTCGCGAGGCACATCAAGGATTACTCTGGTGACTTGCAGGCAACTCTCACTCCTGCTGCACTCTCGCATGTCTATCAGTCTATCAGCTTTCGAAAGCTTTCTCGGGATCTGTCGGCAAGCCCGCTGCGAGAAGTTTAGCGCTAAATACGAGAGGACGGAACTGTGGCCAGGCACGCTGCGCTTTTTTTCATCGCCAGCGGGCCCTGCCCTGCGCTGCAGTTCGGTGAGGAGGCCTTAGGGGTTTCAAGGGCGCGCCGCTAGTAAGGCCGATAAGGACTATACGAATAATTTCTCGACTGTCAACAGGGCGTCACGGCAATCCTCATCCGAGGGTTTTTTCCGGTTTAAGGTTTAGGGCTGCTGGCTTAGGTGACCTGAAAGCATGCAGAAACTTTCACAGCATGAGCGTCATAGGAGTGCCACGGTGATGCCACTGTGATGTCTAAGAGTCTCATGTGAACTCGTCTTGCTGCATCATCCGCCACGATGCCGTGCAAAAAACATTACGCAGTCTTGAAATGCTGGAAGGGCCAATCAAACATTCTCCCGGATGGCAGCAAAACCGCACTCAGTACGATGGCAGTCGCTTGGCGAGGTGCTGAAACATGAAACCATTGAACAGGGGGAAGGCTTTGTCACCCCTTGTAAGCCTTATAGCCTCTAACGCGACAGAGCTGGAGCACTGACTTGGTCAGGAGCGTGTTGTCCTTGCGGCCGAACGGATGCAGGCAAGTGCGATGCGACGGCACTGGTGCAGCTGAGGCGCGCGCCTTCGTCGATCCATCTTACTTTGACAGTCATCACCGACTGTCCTGTACACCTGGCCATGTTGGAAGCTTCCATGTTTCCATGCATGAACTTCCGTGACGTTGCATATAGACACAACACCACGCGCAACATGCTGCGAATTGCTGCGCCGTGGCGCCCCGCCTTCAGTACCAGCTCCAATTGCGCCAGGATTTGCCCTGACCGCCCTGACCCTTGCCATTTCCTTTGCTGGAGCTCTTGCCCTTGCCTTTCCCCTTGCCTTTGCCTTTGCCTTTCCCCTTGCCCGTGTTGGGCTTGGGGAGAAGCGTTGGGAGCTCTTCAGCCTCGCCAGGAAGCCACGAACTGGGAGGAGCCATCGGGTTTTCCGACAGGTCCGCCCACGACGGCTTTGTGGGCTTTGCGGGCTTCGTGGGCTTTGCGGGCTTGGCGGGCTTTTCTGTGGCCAATGCGGGTGCTGTGGGTGCTGTCGTGGGGGGCGGTGGCACGGACGCTTGAAGCACCACGTGCTGGGGAAGTTGAGGGGCCAGTTGTGGGGGCTGATGTGGGGGAGGCACTTGTGCAGGTGGCAGAAACGTCACCATTTGTGCCAGCTGTGGGGGCATCTGTGGAGTCCCGCACCACGGCTCTGTCTGGTGGGGCATGGTGTGTGCAATGGGCATGTGAGGCATTTGTGGCGCACAACACCATGGCACTGTTGGCTGGGCATGGGCATGGGTTGATAACTCAAGCCCATGATGGAGTGCCACTGTTGGCAGGGATGCACAGCCACTGCTTGCACGCGAACGGGCTGTGGGGGCCATGGCGCCAACGGGTGGGCGATGTGTGCCCACCACTCGGGTGGAGGCGCCAGCCCTCCACGGTAGTCAGGGCCATAAACAGCCTGCTCGCCGACAAAGGCCGGCGGCAGCTGCACGATCTGCTGGGCAGCCATGACGAAGCTGGAGGCTTGCGGCCGTTGCTATACTGCTGCTGAGCCACTGGTGCGCGACAAACGAAGTGGGCATGTGGAGCAGAAGGATTCGCGAGGCACATCAAGGATTACTCTGGTGACTTGCAGACAACTCTCACTCCTGCTTCACTCTCGCATGTCTATCAGCTTTCGAAAGCTTTCTCGGGATCTGTCGGCAAGCCCGCTGCGAGAAGTTTAGCGCTAAATACGAGAGGACGGAACTGTGGCCAGGCACGCTGCGCTTTTTTTTCATCGCCAGCGGGCCCTGCCCTGCGCTGCAGTTCGGTGAGGAGGCTTTAGGGGTTTCAAGGGCGCGCCGCTAGTAAGGCCGATAAGGACTATACGAATAATTTCTCGACTGTCCACAGGGCGTCACGGCAATCCTAATCCGAGGGCTTTTTCCGGTTTAAGGTTTAGGGCTGTTGGCTTAGGTGACCTGAAAGCATGCAGAAACTTTCACAGCATGAGAGTCATAGGAGTGCCACGGCGATGCCACTGTGATGTCTAAGAGTCTCATGTGAACTCGTCTTGCTGCATCATCCGCCACGATGCCGTGCAAAAAAACATTACGCAGTCTTGAAATGCTGGAAGGGCCAATCAAAACATTCTCCCGGATGGCAGCAAAACCGCACTCAGTACGATGGCAGTCGCTTGGCGAGGTGCTGAAACATGAAACCATTGAACAGGGGGAAGGCTTTGTCACCCCTTGTAAGCCTTATAGCCTCTAACGCGACAGAGCTGGAGCACTGACTTGGTCAGGAGCGTGTTGTCCTTGCGGCCGAACGGATGCAGGCAAGTGCGATGCGACGGCACTGGTGCAGCTGAGGCGCGCGCCTTCGTCGATCCATCTTACTTTGACAGTCATCACCGACTGTCCTGTACACCTGGCCATGTTGGAAGCTTCCATGTTTCCATGCATGAACTTCCGTGACGTTGCATAGACACAACACCACGCGCAACATGCTGCGAATTGCTGCGCCGTGGCGCCCCGCCTTCAGTACCAGCTCCAATTGCGCCAGGATTTGCCCTGACCGCCCTGACCCTTGCCATTTCCTTTACTGGAGCTCTTGCCCTTGCCTTTGCCCTTGCCTTTGCCTTTGCCTTTCCCCTTGCCCGTGTTGGGCTTGGGGAGAAGCGTTGGGAGCTCTTCAGCCTCGCCAGGAAGCCACGAACTGGGAGGAGCCATCGGGTTTTCCGACAGGTCCGCCCACGACGGCTTTGTGGGCTTTGCGGGCTTCGTGGGCTTTGCGGGCTTGGCGGGCTTTTCTGTGGCCAATGCGGGTGCTGTGGGTGCTGTCGTGGGGGGCGGTGGCACGGACGCTTGAAGCGCCACGTGCTGGGGAAGTTGAGGGGCCAGTTGTGGGGGCTGATGTGGGGGAGGCACTTGTGCAGGTGGCAGAAACGTCACCATTTGTGCCAGCTGTGGGGGCATCTGTGGAGTCCCGCACCACGGCTCTGTCTGGTGGGGCATGGTGTGTGCAATGGGCATGTGAGGCATTTGTGGCGCACAACACCATGGCACTGTTGGCTGGGGCATGGGCATGGGTTGATAACTCAAGCCCATGATGGAGTGCCACTGTTGGCAGGGATGCACAGCCACTGCTTGCACGCGAACGGGCTGTGGGGGCCATGGCGCCAACGGGTGGGCGATGTGTGCCCACCACTCGGGTGGAGGCGCCAGCCCTCCACGGTAGTCAGGGCCATAAACAGCCTGCTCGCCGACAAAGGCCGGCGGCAGCTGCACGATCTGCTGGGCAGCCATGACGAAGCTGGAGGCTTGCGGCCGTTGCTATACTGCTGCTGAGCCACTGGTGAGCAACAACGTGATGGAGAAGGTAAGGGGCATCAAGGATCACTCGATGAGTGGCAGACGATGATGCCATGTCGATCCCAAAGCTCCCATGCTCGGGATGTGTCGGCAAGCCCGCTGCGGGGAGTTAAGTGCAAGAGGACAGAACTGTGGCAAGGCACGCTGCGCGCTTTTCCATCGCCAGCGTGCTTCTCTATGGCCCCTTCAAGGGCTGCACATCATCCTGGGGGGCATACGGTGCCTCCTTCCGATTCAGAACAAGCAGAGTACTAGTGAGAACGTTCTACTTGACTTGAAGGTTCGACTTCGTCAGGGATAAGACAGTCGACAACAGGCGCGTACGGGGAGATGATTCAAGGAAAGGTGGCGCCTAGCCCCTCAAGCCCCAACTGACCGAAAACTGAACCCCAAACACCTAAACCCTAAACCTACAATCCCCGGACCCTAAACTCCCTAAACCCAAAAGCTTGAGGCAGTTGAAGCCAACTCCAACGGCTTGATGCGCGAGGCTTCCGGCCTGCAAGCCACTAAGCCATCTGGTGTTTAGGTTCTATTTGACTTTCAAACATGTGGTTTCAGGGTTTCGGGCCAAAACCGTATAGCTGGCTACCTACACTTCTGAGGGGTTCTGGAACCCTAAGCCCTAAACCCTAAACGCTAAACGCTAAACGCTAAACGCTAAACCCTAAACCCTAAACCCTCAGGCATGTTTGGCTCTCAGGATCCCCCCCCCCCCCCCATCACCCTCCCCCCCGGCCACCCGTCCCCGGAGAGAGCGTTAAGGGTTGCGGGCCTTGGTCTCAGCGCAACTACCCTTTAAAATCTAGGGTCCATAAAATCTGGTCGGAGATGTCAGAAAGCTTCTGCTTTTGGAGAGTCAGTTCCAACCGTCAAGACGCAAGAAAATCTTCCAAAGGTTAAGTTATAAGGATTGAGCAGGACGAAGCCGCGAAAACGTGCCCATGCGAACGCTGCAAAAAGCCAAGACTTGTTGCGGCGGAGTGGCCCAGCAGCAAGCGGCAAGGCAGCCACGTCGGTCATAGCATCAAAGGAGCCACGCGGGAGCCCCGCAGGTCTGCTGCGAGCCAGGCACCCGAAAACCCTACACAGCGAATTAGAAAGCTTCCCAGCCCTCAGAGCCCGGGGATGAGCGCGTGCTGCTTCTCAGTAGGGACTGGGGGGGAACGAGGCACCCCAACTTGTTTTCTAGTCCATAGGAACCCTTGGTTCCTAATAAGGTGAGCTGGTGGCAGCGATAGCCAGCCCATGATTACCACGACTGCGGCAACCCTTCTGGCAAGGGTTTTAGGGGTTTGTGACTAGGGTCTGTGGGGTGTATAGGGTTTATAGGGTGTTTACGTTTTATAGGGTGTTTAGGGTTTCAGGGCGATGCACCCTTCAACATGACGGAGTCAAGAGAAAATGCACGGCGAGGAGACTTTAGCGGGCTTCTCAAGGCTCACGAGCAAGGCCAACAAGGACCATTCGAGTAGCCATTCGACTACGAACAAGCTGGACACGAGGAATAGCACATGACTGCGATCGGGCCTTCAGGGTTCGGAGCCCTAAACCCTAAACCCTAAACCCTAAACCCTAAACCCTAAACCCTAAACCCTAAACCCTAAACCCTAAACCCTAAACCCTAAACCCTAAACGACCCCTCACAGCTCTGGACTCTGGATTTCAGATCTCTCCGCTTTAGGGCTGTTAAAGGGGTTTGCAGAGTTCAAGAAGACAACTGCAAGGCGAGGAGGCCTGTTGCACGGCAATGCTTACCTGAGGGGGTTGGTTCTAGATTCCATTTTTCTCCGGGTTAGGGTCTATACGGTTGGGAGCTTATGGTGTCCTGAAAGCGCGCAGCAACTTTCACAGAATGAGGAGTTGCTCATGAGCCTCGCATCCTTATGGCCCAACAGATGCATACAAGTGCACCACCACAGGTGCAACTGAGGCACGTGCCTTCGGCTGCCTTCGTCGATCCATCGTACTATGACAGTCATCACCTGTCCTGTATACCTTTCCATGTTGGAAGCTTCCATGTTTCCAGGAACTTGCGTGACGTCGCATGGACACCACGCGCAACATGCTGCGAATTGCCGTGATGTGGCGCCCCGCCCTCACTACCAGCTCCAATCGTGCCAGGATTTGCCCTGGCCCTGACCACCCTGGCCCTTGCCATTTCCTCTGCTGGAGTTCTTGGAGTTCTTGCCCTTGCCTTTGCAGGAGTTCTTGCCCTTGCCAGCGTTGGGAGCTCTTCAGCCTCGCCAGGAAGCCACGAACTCGGAGGAGCCACCGGGTTTTCCGACAGGTCGCCCGTGGGCTTCTTCTCTGGAGGATGCGGGCGTGGGCGCTGTCACAGCAGGGGACGGTGGCACGGAGGCTTGAAGCGCCACATGCTGGGGGAGTTGAGGGGCAAGTTGTGGGGGCTGATGTGTGGGAGGCACTTGTGCAGGTGGCAGATACGTCACCATTTGTGCCATCATCTGTGGAGCGCCGCACCACGGCTCTGTCTGGTGGGGCCCTGGCCCCCATAACCCGTTCGCGTACAAGCGGTGCCTGTGTATCCTTGCCAGCAGTGGGATGGACTGCCACAGGTGGCAGGGATGCACAGGCACCGCTTGTATGCGAACGCGCTGTGGGGGCCAGGCGCCAGCGGATGAGCGATGTGTGCCCACCACTCGGGTGGGGGCGCCAGCCCTCCACGGTACTGAAGGCCGTAGACAGCTTGCTCGCCAACAAAGGCCGGCGGCAGCTGTACGATCTGCTGCACATCAGCCATGATGCTGGTGGCTTGTGGCCGCTTGAACTGATAGCTGCTGCGCCACTGCTGCGCGACAAACACAGTGGGCATGTGGAGCAGAAGGATTCGTGAGGCACATCAGGGACAGCTTCACTTTTGCTTCACTCCCGGATACACCCATGTCTGCTCAGCCACTGTGCAGCCCAAATTCTCCGAACTTTAGTTATCCTAGGCTACGACCCCCTCAACCCCAGAACCAATGAAAGAGAGGGCCCGGCTCGCTTTTCCATCGCCAACGTGTGCTCCGCCCAGGGCGCGCGAGCCGCGGGGCCTCCTGGCTCTTTATCGGCATTCTGGGATTTAGAAGCCACGGTTTCTGTGCGGCCCCTTCAAGCCTTCAAGGGGTACACATCATTCATGGGGACATAAGGCACTTCCCGAATTTGTTCGGCAGAACAAGCAGAGTCACTGAGGACCCTCTACTTGAAGGTTCACAGGATAGTTGTACAAGTACTGTAGGGTTATAGGGTGCGGGTGTGATCTTTCAAGTTTTGGAGAAGTCGATCTCAGGTGCGTGCGGGGCACAGGTAGGTGAGGCTGTTCAAGGAAAGGCGGCGACGCCTGGCTTTTTCTGAGAAGGCTTCAACCCGAAGGTGCAAGTTGCGAAGGCGAGGCTTTAGTTATACGGTTTATAGGGTTTAGGGTTTAGGGTTTAGAGGGTAGAGGGTAGAGGGTTTAGGGTTTAGGGTCTAGGGTGGGTTAGGAACCAGCAACTAAACCCCTGACTCTTCACAAGCCCAGAAGCCCCTAGCCCCTCACGAAACCTGAGCCCTAAACCCTGAAACCTAAACCCTACAGTCCCTAAACCGGGGGTCAGTTGGATCAAGGCTGGGGGGTGTCGCGCGCGCCTGGGGCCAACTCCAGCGGCTTGATGCAGAAGGCATCCGGCCTGCGGGAGGCCAACTGGGGTTTAGAGGATTTAGGGTTTAGGGTTTAGGGTTTAGGGTTTACCGTAAGGTTTTTTTCGGGGTTGAGGCCAAACTGACTTGGGGGGGGGGTTCAGAACCTCCGAACCTGTCATGTCTATGGTGGCATGTTGGTTCTCAGGACGCCCTCCCTCACGCTCCCCACCCCTTCTCTGCAGAAGGCACGTTTGGTTCCTGCTGATAAGGGAGCTTGGGGCCTGTGGTCTCAGTACAACTGCCCTTTAAGATATGCAGGTTGCATCTTTTCTACAAGCTGGTGAGAGGTCAACTTGCGTAGCCTAGTCTTGACTTGATTATCGCAGGGGCGGGCGGGGTAGAGCTTAGACAAGGTCGGTAGGGGCTCAACAGGATAGATAGTGCTTAAGGCCCAAGGGTTGGGGGTGATGGTTTGGGGTTGTAGATGGTTCTAGGGTTTTGTTTTTCAGGGCAGCTTCGCAGCTCTTGCGGGGTTGGGGGATTGCAGGAGTCTCCAGGGTCCCGTGGAGAGAGTTCAAGGAGTTTGGAGGGTTTAGGGGGCTTCGTGAGCATAGAGCTCCAACATCCAACGCCTAAATTGATTCTCGCGGAGGGGGACTCGCCCGAAGATTCTTCGCATTCCGAAAATCGGTTTGTTACGGCTTTTTAAGGGGGTTGGGGAGGGGGCCGGAGGTGCTGGGCAGCCGGAACTTGCTGAGAAGAGCTCCTGCTCCAGACATTCTAGGACGTGCGCGAACATCTCGCAATGTTGGAGGGAATTGTGAAGCAAGTAACAGAGGCCCCTAACATGAATTCCTGACAAAAAAACCTGCAAACCCCAAAAACCCGAAACCCTATAGCCCTACTTTGGAGTAGGCCCTGGAGAAAAAGTATACACTTTGTAGGTACGAGTAGAAGTAGCAGTAGTGGGAACCCAGAACCAAAAACTATTACCAGCTAGTAAATCCTCAACCTTGTACCCTGCCCTTCGCGACCTTGGCATCTGTCTTCCCAACAAAGAACTGCACGAAGCCCGCAAGGCAGCCGAGTGATGTGCCCAGAAGGATACCTTCGGCTACGAAGTCGTTTCGGAGTTCGAGGGCTTAGGGTGAGGACGATTAGGGGTTCGAGGGTATACAGGGCGCGAGGGCTTCCAACCGATACGGTGTCTACGGGAACTTGGGGACCTCGTGCTTGTGGCACAACGGTCTCTAAGGGCTGCTCGGGGTATGCGTATGCTCAGAGATGTGCAGAGCTTTGGGCTCTCAGGGTTTTTATAAGGCTGTGCCCATGCTAGTGATAGTGCTGCAAAAGAAGACTTGTGTCGGAGTGGCCCAGCAGCAAGCGGCAAGGCAGCTACATCGGCCATTGCGCATCGCGAATCAAAGCAGGAAGAGGGGGGTCCCGTAGATCTACCGTTCCGCTTGAAAACCCTGGAAAGTTTCTAAACCTCAGACCCCAGGGATGAGCGTGCTGCTTCTAAACCCTCAGAGCCCAAGAAAGAGCGTGCTGCTTCTCAGTAGGGTGGGGGAGTGAAGAAACCCGGAATTTACACAGTTCAATAAGAATCCTTGAACCCTACAGCGCCCGAAATCCTACTTCCTACTCTTGAGGCCGGATGAAGCAGAAGGATCCAAGATGCAAAGGAAGCCATGGCACATGCCGCGTCTGCAGCAACCCTGCTGGCAAAGGGTCTATAGGGTTAGAGCGTTCAGGTGAAAGAGAGACATGCAGGGTGAGGAGGCTCAGCTTCAATCCTCATCCGAGGCTGGTTCTGGATTCCGTGTTTCACCGGCTTAGGGTGTAGTGTAGTGAGTGTATACTGAAAGCATGCAGCAACTTTCGCAGCATGAGCGTCGTAGGAGTGCCACTGTGACGTAAAAGTCTGGTGTGAACTTTGTCTTGCTGCACCATCCGCCACGATGCCGTGGAAACAATAACAATATGTCCTTCAGTCTTAGATGCTGGCAGGGCCACATCACACATTCCCTCGGCTGCAGGCAGCAAAACTGCACCCAGTACGATGGGAGTCGCTTGGCGAGGTGCTGAAACATTAAACCATTCAACAGGGGGAAGGCTTTGTCACCCCTTGTAAGCCTTGCTGAGCAGCCTCTAACGCGACAGTGCTCATTCGAGCTTCGGGCCGCGCAGCTGCAGCGGCTGGAGCACTCACTTGGTCATGAGCCTATTGTCCTTGCGGCCGAACAGATGCAGGCAAGCGCGATGCGACGGCACAGGTGCAGCTGAGGCCCGTGCCTTCGTCGATCCATCTTACTTTGAAACTTTGACAGTCATCACCGATTCTCCTGTATTCCTGGGCGTGTTGGAAGCTTCCATGTTTCCATGAACTTCCGAACTTCCGTGACGTCGCATGGACACAACACCACGCGCAACATGCTGCGAATTGCTGTGCCGTGGCGCCCCGCCTTCAGTACCAGCTCCAATTGCGCCAGGATTTGCCCTGACCGCCCTGGCCCTTGCCATTTCCTTTGTTGCCGTTCTTGCCCTTGCCTTTCCCCTTGCCTTTGCCTTTGCCTTTCCCCTTGCCCGTGTTAGGCTTGGGGAGAAGCGTTGGGAGCTCTTCAGCCTCGCCAGGAAGCCACGAACTGGGAGGAGCCATCGGGTTTTCCGACAGGTCCGCCCACGACGGCTTTGTGGGCTTTGCGGGCTTCGTGGGCTTTGCGGGCTTGGCGGGCTTTTCTGTGGCCAATGCGGGTGCTGTGGGTGCTGTCGTGGGGGGCGGTGGCACGGACGCTTGAAGCGCCACGTGCTGGGGAATTTGAGGGGCCAGTTGTGGGGGCTGATGTGGGGGAGGCACTTGTGCAGGTGGCAGAAACGTCACCATTTGTGCCATCTGCGGGGGCATCTGCGGAGTGCACCACGGCGCTGTCTAGTGCGGGAAGCATCTGGGATTCGCAGTTAAGAGGGTGAATGAAGCCTTCAACTTAATCTAGGATGAACCTTAAAGCCCTCTGACAAAATATTCCTCAATATTTAGTCCTCTTAAACCCAGCAAGGGAACAGAAAAAATATCCCAAGGGGGTGCCTATTAGTCATCGTATGCGGAAGCTCTGCGCGACCGAAGTGCAGCCAAGGGCTCATGCTGGTCGAACCTCTACAGAGCCTACGTGGACGCCGCATCCATTTCCTGTTCATCCTTCTGAAAGAATGCTGCCGGTCTTTAGGTTTTTTCTGGCTGAAACCCTAAACCCTAAACCCACAACCCTGAACCCTCAACCCCGAACCCCAAACCGCCCAGACAACAACCCGCCCGGCCTTTGCATAGGCTTTCATCCGGGCTCGAAAAACCCTGTTTGTAGGATCCCGTGTTTTTTTGTTAGGGGTTTAGGGTTTAGGGTTTAGGGTTTTGGGAGGGTTTAGGGTTTAGGGTTGAGGGGGTGGGGCCTAGTCGAGGGCGCGGCTGCTTGCTGAGCAGCTCCAGGGCCTCCTCCGTGCCCGGGACATCACCGGACCTGAGAGGGGGCCCCCCGTACAAAGCACCCGGAGAAGCTCGGTTGAGGGGTCTATAACTATAGGGTTTAGGGTCCATAAGCTCGGTTTAGGGTTCTTAGGCGTTTTAGGGTTCAGGGTTTTAAGGTTTAGGGTTTGAGGGTTTTAAGCTTTAGGATTTAGGGTTTTGAGGTCTAGGGTATAGGGCTGAGAACTAAGCATGGCATGCATGTTGATGAGAAGTGTGAAGCCCACCTCCAGACGGGACCCTGGGACCTTAGGACCTTTGAAGTTTAGGACCTTAGGAGCTTAGGGCCTCAGGACCCGACTTGGAGGTTCATGGTACCTTTTTAGGGTTTAGGGTTTAGGGTTTAGGGTTTAGGGTTACCTCAGGACCTTAAGACACAGAACCCGACTTGAGGGTTCACAGACACGTCGGGTCACCATGCAGGTAACCTTACTTGTAAGTAACTTGGCACCCTAAACCCTAAACCCTAAACCCTAAACCCTAAACCCTAAACCCTAAACCCTAAACCCTATAAACCCTAAACCCTAAACCCGAAGGCCGCCAGGGGGGCGCCTCTCTTCCCAGAGGTATCAAGCGGTTGCTGTAAGGTTTTAAGGTTCTAAAGTTCTATAAGGTTCTCTAAGGCCATAAGGCCATACGGCTATAAGGTTCTAAGGCTAGAAGGGTGTAAGGTTGTAAGGTTATAAACGAAACAAGATTGTAAGTGTTGAGGCTCTAAGATTCTCAGGTTATAAGGTGCAGCTGAGGCACGCGCCTTCGTCGATCCATCGTAGTATGACAGTCATCACCGACTGACCTGTATACCTGGCCGCCATGTTGGAAGCTCCCGTGTTTCCATGAACTTTCGTGACGTCGCATGGACATAACACCACGTGCAACATCGCCTTCACTCCCAGCTCCATGGGCCGCCCTGGCCCTTGCCGAATCCTTTCTTACAGGCAAATGGCAAACAGAAAGGGGCAAGAACGGCGTTCTTGCCCTTCCCTTTCCCCTTGCCTTTGCCCTTGCCAATTCCCCTCTCCCGTGTTGGGCTTTGGGAGAAGCGTTGGGAGCTGCTCAGCCTCGCAAGAGCCGCCGGGTCTTCCGACAGGTCCGCGGGCTTGGCGGGGGCCATAAACAGCCTGCTCGCCAAGAAAGGCCGGCGGCAGCTGTACGATCTGCTGGGCGTCAGCCATGATGTTGGTGTTTTGCGGCTGTGCTACAGCCGCAAACCACCAGCATCATGGCTGATGCCCAGCAGATCGTACAGCTGCCGCCGGCCTTTGTTGGCCAGCAGGCTTTTTTAATCTGCTGAGCCACCATGGTGCGCGACAAACGAAGTGGGCATGTGGAGCAGAAGGATTCGCGAGGCACATCAAGGATTACTCTGGTGACTTGCAGACAACTCTCACTCCTGCTTCACTCTCGCATGTTCGAAAGCTTTCTCGGGATCTGTCGGCAAGCCCGCTGCGAGAAGTTTAGCGCTAAATACGAGAGGACGGAACTGTGGCAAGGCACGCTGCGCTTTTTTGTTCATCGCCAGCGGGCCCTGCCCTGCGCTGCTGTTCGGTGAGGAGGCTTTAGGGGTTTCAAGGGCGCGCCGCTAGTAAGGCCGATAAGGACTATACGAATAATAACTATTCGACTGTCAACAGGGCGTCACGGCAATCCTCATCCGAGGGTTTTTTCCGATTTAAGGTTTAGGGCTGTGGGCTTAGGTGACCTGAAAGCATGCAGAAACGTTCACAGCATGAGCGTCATAGGAGTGCCACGGTGATGCCACTGTGATGTCTAAGAGTCTCATGTGAACTCTGTCTTGCTGCATCATCCGCCACGATGCCGTGCAAAAAAAACATTACGCAGTCTTGAAAAGCTGGGAGGGCCAATCAAACATTCTCCCGGATGGCAGCAAAACCGCACTCAGTACGATGGCAGTCGCTTGGCGAGGTGCTGAAACATGAAACCATTGAACAGGGGGAAGGCTTTATCACCCCTTGTAAGCCTTCTGGCGTCTAACGCGACAGAGCTGGAGCACTGACTTGGTCAGGAGCGTGTTGTCCTTGCGGGCGAACGGATGCAGGCAAGTGCTATGCGACGGCACTGGTGCAGCTGAGGCGCGCGCGCCTTCGTCGATCCAATTTGACAGTCATCACCGACTGTCCTGTACACCTGGCCATGTTGGAAGCTTCCCCATGTTTCCATGCATGAACTTCCGTGACGTTGCATGGACACAACACCACGCGCAACATGCTGCGAATTGCTGTGCCGTGGCGCCCCGCCTTCAGTACCAGCTCCAATTCTGCCAGGATTTGCCCTGACTGCCCTGACCCTTGCCATTACCTTTGTTGCCGTTCTTGCCCTTGCCCTTGCTGGACTTCTTGCCCTTGCCTTTCCCCTTGCCCGTGTTGGGCTTGGGGAGAAGCGTTGGGAGCTCTTCAGCCTCGCCAGGAAGCCATGACTTCGGAGGAGCCGCCGGGTTTTCCGACAGGTCCGCCCACGACGGCTTTGCGGGCTTCGTGGGCTTGGCGGGCTTGGCGGGCTTTTCTGTGGCCAATGCGGGTGCTGTGGGTGCTGTCGTGGGGAGTGGCGCGGACGCTTGAAGTGCCACATGCTGGGGGAGTTGAGGGGCCAGTTGTGGGGGCTGATGTGGGGGAGGCACTTGTGCAGGTGGCAGAAACGTCACCATTTGTGCCATCTGCGGGGGCATCTGTGGAGCTCCGCACCACGGCTCTGTCTGGTGGGGCATGGCGTGTGCAATGGGCATGTGAGGCATTTGTGGCGCACAACACCATGGCACTGTTGGCTGGGGCATGGGCATGGGTTGATAACTCAAGCCCATGATGGAGTGCCACTGTTGGCAGGGATGCACAGCCACTGCTTGCACGCGAACCGGCTGTGGGGGCCAGGGCGCCAATGGATGTGCGACGCGTGCCCACCACTCGGGTGGGGGCGCCAGCCCTCCACGGTAGTCAGGGCCATAAACAGCCTGCTCGCCAACAAAGGCCGGCGGCAGCTGCACGATCTGCTGCACAGATGAAGCTGGGGGGGGTGGCTTGCGGCCGTTGCTACTGCTGCTGAGCCACTGGTGAGCGACAAACGAAGTGGGCATGTGGAGCAGAAGAAATCGCGAGGCACATCAAGGATTACTCTGGGGACTTGTGGACAACTCTCACTTCTCACTCCTGCTTCGCTCCCGCAGCCTCCCGCATGCACCCACGTCTGTCCGAAAGCAAGCTGCTCGAGATCTGTCGGCAAGCCCGCTGCGCGCTTTTCCATCGCCAGCGTGCTCCGCCCTGCGCCGCTGTTCAGCGCGAGCCGCAGGGCCTCCTGGCTCTTTATCGGGAATCGGGCTCTTTATCGTTTCTCTATGGCCCCTTCAAGGGTTGCACATCATTCTGGGCACATAAGGCACGTCATGGCACTTCATTCCGATCCAGAACAAGCAGAGTCAGTGAGAACGTTCGGGAGATAAGACAATCGAGAACAGGTGCGTACGGGGGCACAGGGAGATGAGGCTGTTCAAGGAAAGGTGGCAACGCCTAGCTTCGACTGAGCAGGCTTCAAGGTGCAAGTTGCAGGGGAAAGCCAGCACTAGCTAAACCCGCAACTAAACCTCGAACTCCCTACAAGCCCTCAAGCCCTTCAAGCCCAAATGACTGAACCCCAAACCCTGAGAAACCTAAACCCTACAAGCCCTAAACCTGAAACTCTACACCCTAAACTCTCTAATACCCTAAGCCCGATAATCCCTGGGGTGGTGGCGCACCTTGGGCCCACTTCAGCTGCCTGATGCATAAGGCATCCGGCCTGCGAGCCACTCAAGCCATCTGGGGTTCGGGGTTAGGGTTTAGGGTAGTAGGGGGTGAAGGGTTTACCGTAGTGGGGTTTTAGAGCTTCGGGCCAAACCATACCTGGGTCCCAGTAGTACCTACTTCTGAAGGTTCAAAACCTTGCAGATTGGTCCTCAGGACTCAGGACCCCCGTCACACTCCCCCTCCCCCACCCTCGAGAGAGTGTTAAGGGTTGGGGCCTATGGTCTCAGTGCAAACTGCCCTGTAAGATATGCAGGTTGCGAATAAAATACAAGCTGGTGGTCGACTTGCTTAGTCTTGCTCAAGCTGGCCCTGTCACTGTCACTTCCTTCTGACTCTCTTCCTCTTCTTCAACCATATTTGGGGTAATTATCTCCCTAGTAAGGGTTGTACACAAGGGTGACCCCTGTGTTTGCTACTTAAGCGGTCGCGGCTAAAGTTGCAAGACAAGCGGACAAGACTCGCACAAGCTCGAGTCCTCAAGCTAGCGAGATTTCGAATCCTAGAAATCTTGATCAGCAACGCCACTGAAGCTTCTGGGGGTTCGAAGGTCGCTGAAGCCTCTTCCTCAAATAGATTCAGCTCAAAGAGTCGCGGAGGCCGGAAGCTTGCTTCTCGGTCTGTCTCTCTCTCCTTCTCTCTCTCTCCCTCCCTCTCCCTCCCTCTCCTGTCTCTATGAATTACCCTAGAAGGACACTGTGAGCCGCACTGTAAGAAACCCGACAAAAACCGATAAACAACCGAATAAACACCAAACACCACTCGCGGAGTGAAGCTCCGGCCTGATCGAGGCAGAGACCATTTCGGAGAGCACCCGCTGTGCGCCCGACTGGTCCCTTTGCCTGCTGCTTAGGGTTTAGGGTTTATGGCTAGGGTTGAGGGTTGAGGGTTGAGGGTTGAGGGTTTAGGGTATATAGGGTTTAGGCTTTTGGGCTTCGGGCTGATGATGTATGCTATGGTCTACTACCTACCTGAGTCTTGCTGCCAGCCAGCTCCATGCTGCCCGTGCGTGTGCAGGTTCCATCACGAGACGTCTACGACATGGACTCTCGACCTTAATACCCTACGAACATCCCTAAACCCTAAACCCAAACCCGGAAGCCTATACCCTACAAACTCTGAACCGTAAACCCTAAACCCTAAACCCGAGCTGGCGCGGAGAAAGAAGCCGGCCTGGCGTAAGCGGACATGAGCGCCGTGCCGCTGGACAGCGTGGGCCTGAGGCAGGCAGCACCCCGAAGCATGCGGGTGGCACAACTCTCGACCCGGAGTTTACCCGCAAATTGAGGTATCCGACATTCTATATGATCTATATGATCATATAATTTCATATCGCAGAACAGAAGTCGACCGGGATTTTTGCTGCAAACCCACATGCGTTCTCCGGTGCACCAGACCTATCCTGTTGCAAGATCGCCTGAAACCCCGCAAGAGAACCTGACATATTCTAAGCTCAAACCCTAAACCCTGAACCCTGAACCCTGAACCTTAAACCCGGATAAGCAACACGAAGCATGCCTATGATTCAGGCTCCTAGCTGTAGCTGTACAAGATTGAAAGGGTTCCGAACCATGTAGTTTTAGGTTTTTGAGATTCTTACTGGAAGAGCAAAGGGGTTTAGAAGCTGAAGGGCTTAGGGTTCAAAAGCTCAAGGGCTTAGGGTTTGGAAGCTCAAGGGTCTAGGGTTTAAGAAGCAGACCTATAAACCCTAAACCCTAAACCCTAAATCCTAAACCCTAAAGCTTCACTTCCTCATCCCCGCTGAGCTGCTCCCCCTGTAGCTGGAAGAGCTCCAGTGCTCGCGGAAGCTGCTGTGCCTCTCATCTTTGAGGGGGTTCTGCCCCAAACCCTAGGGTTTAGGGTTTAGGGTCTAGGGTCTAGGGTCTAGGGTCAAGACCTCCAGTGTTCTTGGAAGTCTGGACCTGTTCAAGCTGCATCTTGGAAACATGATGAAGAAAAAAGTCGGGCAACAGAGAGTATGTTCAAGAGCCTCTTAGACACCTGGATCCCCAGTTTCTATTGCCTCTGGTAGCCCAGCAGAATTGGAGAGAGGCCCCCGCTTCTGCGGTTGGTGATGGACAGCTTCGCTACTTAACAGGGCAGAATGGAATCAACATGAACTACGTAGCCACCATAGCCACCCTAAACCCTAAACCCTAAACCCTAAACCCTAAACCCTAAACCCTAAACCCTAAACCCTAAACCCCAAGCCACTCTCGTCACTCGGGCGCCACCTTGGCGTGTGCCGAAATGAGGGTGGCGTAGGTCGCCGCGTTTGGCTGCAGACCTGGGTTGCGCTCAAGGAAATCTGTGGGGTTTAGGGTTTGAGGTTTTGGGTTTTTAAGTTTAAGCTTGCGGCCTCAGGGTTGCAAATGTGCCGCATCAAAGCATCCGTGTCTTCACGTCGTTTGTGTTTGCTGACGGTCCGGGGTGTGTTTTGCATGGTTTGGATGCCTTTTGTGGCCCTTTGCCGCAGCCTGCCCGCCCTATACACGAGCCTACAGAGAATCCAGGCCTTCAATGACTGGTTCTCCCTCTTGCCCTCAAGGTGCGACGACTGCAGAACCCAGAGTGGGGAAGCATCTGGCTGTCGCGGAAGGTCTTACTTTTAATGGTATTCTGAAGCCATGCGCGCAGCCAAGAGCCCATGCTGGTCGAACCTCTACAGACGTGGACACCGCATCAACTTCTTGCCGTCCGGCGTGCTGAGCCACCGGCTTAGACTTTGAATCTGCGCCAGCACTTCGTCGGCGCGCTGCGCGTCCCTCGCCTATCGGATCACGGGATTATTTCCGATGCTGCTGGCACTAATCCGCGAACCCGATGCCCTCCAGCACTTCTGAAAGAATGCTGCCGCTCTTTGGGTTTGTTTCTGGCTGAAAGCCTAAACCCTAGCCCTAAACCCTAAACCCCAAACCCTAAACCCCAAACCCTACACCCCAAACCCTAAACCCCGAACCCTAAACCCGAAACCTTGATACCCAGACAACAACCCGCCGGCCTTTGCATAGGCTTTCATCAGGGCCGTGTAGGAAGCCAGGTTCGGCTTCCACCTTGGGGCCCCCCAACTTTAGAGAACCCTCCCCCCTCTCCCCCCCGACACAGTGCAGGGTTTAGGGTTTAGGGTTTAGGGTTTAGGGTTTAGGGTTTAGGGTTTAGGGTTTGCGGATTCCCGACTCCCGCCTTGCTTAAGGCTGCTAAGCTTAGGACCTTCCCAGCCCCTGAAACCTCCTCCATCGTCGAGGGCGCGGCTGCTTGCTGAGCAGCTCAAAGGCCTCCTCCGCGCCCCGGACATCTCCGGACCTGAGAGGGCCCCCTTACAAAGCACCCAGGTTTAGGGTTTAGGGTTTAGGGTTTAGGGTTTAGGGTTTAGGGTTTAGGGTTTAGGGTTTAGGGTTTAGGGTTTAGGGTCCTGAGAGGGCCCCCTATAACAAAACTCCCCTTAGAACCTTAATCAAGATATTATTTTAAATGTCCTCTTGGGTTTTATATGAACAACCATAAAAAAATCGTGTTTAGTGTGTGAGAGGGCGCCCTGACAAAGCACCCAGAAGCTCGGTTGAGGGGTCTAGGGTTTAGGGTTAGGGTTCTAGGGTTTATTTAGGGTTTAGGGTTTTAAGGGTTTAAAGGTTTATGGGTTTAGGGTTTTCTGAGGTATTGGGGCTTTGAGGTTTAGGGTTTTGGGGCTTAGCTCTGAGGCCCAAGCATGGCGTGCGCGTTGATGAGAAGTGTGAAGCCCACCTCCAGACGGGACCAAAGGACTCTAGGACCTTAGGACCTTAAGACCTATAGAGGACGTACGAGCTTGGGAGCTTAGGAGCTTGGGAGCTTAGGAGCTTCGGAGCTTAGGAGCTTAGGAGCTTGGGAGCTTGGGAGCTTGGGACCTTAGGAGCTTAGGACCTTTGGAGCTTCGGAGCTTAGGACCTCAGGCGCTTCGGAGCTGAGGACCGTAGATATGTGAACCCTACTTGACTTGAAGGTTCGCAGATAAAGGCAGGGCTTTGACAATACCCACGCCCGGTCACCATGCAGGTCCTTATTGATAAGTGTGCTTCCAAATTGACTCCCTAAACCCTAAACCCTAAACCTGAACCCTAAACCCTAAAACCGAAACCCTGAACCCTACACCCTACACCCACACCCCAAACCCCAAACCCCAAACCCCAAACCCCAAATCCCAAACCCAAAGAATCCCGTCCGCGTACGGGTCACCTCGTTAAGCCGCCCCGTTGCCGCAAGCTCACGGGCGCCCGCCATGTCTTTGGCCGCCAGGCGGGCGCCTCTTTTCCCAAAGGAACGAAGGTTCATGGTACTTATTAACCAACTACAAACTGTGCTTAAGGGGTTAACCCAGGCTTTTTGCATGGGCTGTGCGGGCCAGTGTTGATGTGATGTTAGGCCCTGCACTAGGCCGCAAACCTCAAACCCGTAAAAGCCTGTGAGCCCCATAAACCCTGTAAGCCCTACAAAGCTCAAGCCCTTGAAAGTCTGCAAGCCCTATAAACCCTCTGTGAACCCCATAGACAATTTCAACGCCCGGCCTATAAACCTGCAAATACCGGTGGAGCTTCCGTGCTTTGAGGGCCCAGCGCAGCAACGCCGTGTAGGTCACCTGCGAAACTCTGGTTTTGACTTCTCCCTGTACTTCCAGTGACCTACTTATTCTGCCCCGAAGGGCTCTAGTAACCTAACTTTTTTTTTAGAGTTGAAGACTTTGGGCCGTCTTTAGTACCAACAAGCTCACTACAGCAGACAACCACAAAAGAGGGACCCGGCCACCCGACCTGAAGCTATGGAGGAACCCCCGCAAACCAAGAAACCCCCCAAAACCCAAGAAACCTCAAACCATGGTCCGGGCAATTCAGGGTCCCTTGTGGGTCCCTATAGAGTACGGCACCTTGCAAAGGAGATCCCCTCCAAAGTGACCCTAATTTAGAGAACTACCCCCAAACCCCAAACCCCAAACTCCAAACCATAAACCTCAAACCCTAAACCCCAAACCCCAAACCCCAAACCCCAAACTCCAAACCATAAACCTCAAACCCTAAACCCCAAACCCCAAACTCCAAAGCATAAACTTCAAACCCTAAACCCCAAACCCAAACCCCAAATTACAAACCCTAGTCCCTCAACGTAACCCAACCTACATGAGCCCTTCGGAGCCCTGGGTCCCCGCGCCTCGTTGGGTTGGAGTCCCTGCGCGCGCAGCGCCGCAAAGGCCTCCGCGCTCGAGCGCGGAGGATCTCTCACTCTAGATTCGGCATTCGGAGAAGATCTTAGACCTGACTGAGCCCTAAACCCTAAACCCTAAACCCTAAACCCTAAACCCTAAACCCTAAACCCTAAACCCTAAACCCTAAACCCTAAACCCTAAACCCTAAACCCTAAACCCTAAACCCTAAACCCTAAACCCTGGCCCTAAACCCGAAATTCGGACAACTGCAAGCTCTTTCACTGCCAAGGCGTTCACGGCTTGGCACAGCATGGGGGGTTGTTGTAAAGATGGTTTGGGGACTTTCAAAGAATGGAACCCACTTGTTAGCAGTCTAGGCCTAAACCCTAAACCCTAAACCCTAAACCCTAAACCGCCCTAAACCCTATTGAAACAGCCCCCCCAGCTGGCGGGCTCTCTGCCCGTCCTTGAAGACCATTGGAGCTAAATCAACCCAGGCTTCGTTGCGAAAACTTGGGAAGTGTAAGCACGTTCCAAGCGCTCTTCGGCATGTGCGCGTGTCCAGTATGTATATATACATATATATATATATACATATATATATATACATATATATATATAGCTATCTATATATGTGTTGCAGCACAGCTTCCATAAGAACTGGGCACTCTGAGATACCAAGCCCTAAGTTGGCGGCACCTCACCGCTTAGAGTCTTAACTCATACAGACAGACTTAAGGCATCTTAAGGCCGCTTTGGGGCATGGGGCTCGGATTTTGTAGAGGGTTTAGGGTTTAGGGTTTAGGGTTTAGGGTTTAGGGTTTAGGGTTTAGGGTTGAGAAAGTTGTTGGAACCTCTGGCGCAAGCATGCATGAGAGCACGTGCGGGTGTAAGCTAGTGCGACCTCTTTGCAAGCCGGCGAAGACGGCTTCGCAAAAGAAGGGCGGGTTGATCAAAATGATGGGCCCTCGATTTCAAGGCCTTAGAGTTTAGGGTGTCCAGAAAGGGTCCATGATTTGGATCAACCCACCAAATCTGGGAGGTCGCCTGGGTGAAACTAAAAAGTTCGACCGGCCACAGGACGTGTCTCACAGTCGGTGTCTGGACAGTCTGCAGAAAAAGTCCCTCGTCCCCAAGCACATAGACCCCTAAAACCCCTACGATAGAGGCCAATGAGAATTCTGTAGGGGCTATTCACCCTAAACCCTCAACTTGGAACCGCTTCCCTCGGCTCCTAGTCATACGTTCAGAGTTGGGATGTTTCCCCCTGATACTCACAGCCCTTAAATAGGGATTCTAGTACCTCCTGAAACCCTAAACCCTACACCCTAAACTCTAAACCCTAAACCCTAAACCCTAACCCTAAACCCTAAACCCTAACCCTAAACCCTAAACCCAAGGTCAGAGTATCATCCTGTGGGCGGTGGGTTCCATGGGCCCCATGTAGCTATCGTCGTCGGGCGAATCCGGACCTCGGCTTGCATGCGGGGTTCCTAAGGCCTAAACCCTAAGCCCTGAGCCCTAAACCCTAAACCCTAAACCCTAAACCCTAAACCCTAAACCCTAAACCCTAAACCCTAAACCCTAAACCAAACCCTAAACCCTAAACCCACGTTGTTTGGTGATGTTTGGGGGGGGAGAGGGGAGGGGATCGGGTTTGGGTTCGGGTTCAGACTCTTCCATCGGGCTTGGGGCCTGCAGGGGTTTAAGGGTTGTACGGGATTCTAAGGGTCGCAAGGAATTGTAAGGGATTATAAGGGTCGTAAGGGATACTAAGGGATGATAAGGGATGTAATAAAAGGGGGCCGCAGATACAAGGGCTAGAAGGGGTTAGAAGGGTGGGGAGGGAAAAAGGTAGATATCCTTAATCGGGATTATAGTACCCCCCCCCCCCCCCCAATTATCAGCCCTAAGGAGCTGTTAGTATAAGGGGGAACATCCCTGCTCTCAACAGTTGATCGCCAAGTTGCAGCACTCGATGCGCACCATGACGGAATCGGCCTGGGGCCAATTTGTGCCCCTCTGGGCACTTCGACAGCTTGGGGAGTAGGGTTCAGGGCTTAGGGTTTTAGGACCCTGAGCTTGGGATGTTCCCCCCTTATGCTAAGAGTCCTTAATAGGGATTATAATAGGGGGTTAGCTTGGGCAAACCTGTAGCCCAGTATTTCAATACGTCTACCCCTTGTTGGCAAACTTTTTGGGGTTGGTTACTTGATAAGGGAACTCTGAACCCCGAAAGGGAACCACTGGGTACCACCAAGTTACTACCCACCCACCATTGGCATCCTTGACCCCCTTAAGAGAGCCCCACTTTGCTCCGGGGACTAAACTCAGTGGTGTGATTCTTCGTAGCGACCTCGCCGGAATAGGTTTCCCCCCCCCCCCCCCCCCCCTCAAGCCCTAAACCCTAAACCCTAAAGCCCCCTATAGGGTTATACGGTCGTTCCCAAACACAAAGGACCCGGGCTCGGATCTTTGGCCCTCATCCTGTAAGCCTCCCAAGCACGAAGCCTTAATTCCTTGAAGTTTAGGGTTTAAAGCCCTAGTTGTGAGCCCCCAAGCCCTTTAAGAACCATACACTCCTGAAGCCCTTGCTTGCGCCCTAAAGCCTTAGCCGTAGAGCCCAAACCATGTAAACCCCTGTAGTCCCAAGAAACCCTAAACCCTAAACCCTAAACCCTAAACCGCACGGGGGCGCTGTGAACGACCCAACCCAGGCCTCGTAACTTGGCGGCCTTGGCGGCCCCTCCGTGGGCAGCTGGTCTGCACCTGATCTAGAGTTCCAAGTACGGGCCCTTAACTTGCGCCCCTTGTTATAATTATAGAACCATTATATATATATATGTATGCATATATATATATATATATGTATATAGCTATGTACATATTTACATATATATATATATATGTATGTCTTTTTTAATGGCCCATTCTTCGGATCCCCCCATAAGCCATAAGCAGGGTAGGAACCACAAACAAAGGGCCCATGGTTCCAACAGCAGACGCTCTTCACCCTGAACCCTAAACCCTAAACCCTGAACCCTAGACCCTAAACCCTAAACCCTGAACCCTAAACCCTAAACCCTGGACCCTCAGGCGCTTCTCAGACTAGGCCCGCAGCGTTGCGCAAATGCGAAGGTCAGCCTGCCAAGGGCTCAAAATTCCCCAGAAGCCCTAAGCCATACCCTTCGCCACTCTCCAGCCTCAGCCGTACATGGGCCCCAAAAAAACTGGCGAAGTCTAAACATATCTAAGCCCCTGCATCCCCCTTAAACCCCATTAAGCCCTAAGCTGCCTAAGACCCCTAACACCCCTTAAGTCCCTTAAGCCCGCTTTTTTTTTAGCCCGTAAAGCTCCGCAGACCTCCACCAAACGCCAAAAAAAAACCCAACCTCCTTGACCACCAAAGCCACCAACAGCCGGAATAGACCCCTAAACCCCTACAACCTCCTAACCCTCAAAACTCCTTAATTAAGGCCCCTTATAGCCCCTTAAACCCCCTCAGGCCCCCTTAAGCCCCCAAAAGCCAAATAGACTCTTTAACCCCTACAACCTGCCAAACCAAATCCCCTAAGCCTCCAACCCCCTAAAGCCCCTAAAACCCCTTAACCAAGTTAGACCCCAAACCCGAAACCCTAAACCCTAAACCCTAAACCCCAAAATCTAAACCCTAAACCCTAAACCCTATAAACCCTATAAACCCTATAAACCCTATAAACCCTATAAACCCTATACACCCTATAAACCCTAAACCCTAAACCCTAAACCCTAAACCCTAACCCGGCTTTGCGCCTCAGCAGCCCTGGGGCCCGGTTGTTCAGGTCCGCTACAAGCTCCAGTGGGGGCCTGAACCAAGGGTTTTTTTGGGGGTTTAGGGTTTAGGGTTTAGGGTTTAGGGTTTCGGGTTTAGGGTAAGTTCGAAGGGCTCAGTGTTTAGGGCTCAGGGATTATTTCGGCTTTCGGTGGTTTTGGTGGTCCAAGGGGCTTCAAGCGGCTTAAGGGGTTTCGAGGGTTCAGAGGGTTTAAGGTTTAGAGGTTTGGGGGGATGATGGAGTTTAGGGTGGTGGTACCAAACCCTGAACCCTAAACCCTAAACCCTAAGGTTTTAGGGCTTGGGGCGGCTCATAGGGTCAAAAGTAGGACCTAGGACCTTTACGGTTTTTTCAGCAAGGTTGTCAAGTAATTCAAGTACTTTAGGGACATGGGCTACCTTGTTGACATGGCTGATCGCCGACTCCTTAACCCCCCGTGAACCTTCAAGCAAGGGGCTTCTTTTGAGTTGCTTTAAATACGGTAGGGTGCACGGTTTATGCAAGTATGGCGAAACTGGGACAGAGGATTTGGCTCACTGTGCATGATTAGGCACCGTCTTCGGGTAGCCTGACTATTATAGTCGCAATATTATCCCAAGTGGGGGCTTACGATATTACGGCTACCTTATTGGGGTTCCTTATCATGTTCCTGATCATAAGGTGATCCTAGTAGTTGGAGGATCTATGCTGGGGGGGGATGGGGTCTCCTATTTGCGTAAAATCCCAAAGAAGGAAGCCGGAGCTCTGTTGGCCTCCTGACATTTGGGCTTGTTGCGGTGCACACATCTCTGGAGGGTGTAGGCTGTAAGCATCGAGTGTCCATCCTACCCTAAACCCTAAACCCTAAACCCTAAACCCTAAACCCTAAACCCTAAACCCTAAACCCTCTCTCACACAGAGTTCTACAGCTACCGCCGAGATGAAGCCATGTCGGCTAACTAAGCCCACGGCTTCGTCTCGCCATCGACTGCAAGCAGAAGATCGCCTCTTCTGACCTTGAAAGAGGGTTTAGGGTTTAGGGTTTAGGGTTTAGGGTTTAGGGTTTAGGGTCCAGTTCCGGCAACAGCCGGTGATGGCAAGTGTTGGCACACTTTGTGATGAAAAATGCTTTGCCGAGCATCTTGCTTCTGTCAGCTTGTCTAACAACGAAGCTGTGTTCGAAGTCTCTGCTGTGCAGATGCACTTGGGTAGTTAGTTCTCCAAACAAGGGTTATTTCAGGGTCCTCATTTCAAGA